CTTGAGAAGGTTTCACAATTCCCTTATTGTGGGATATAGTGAGTAAAGCTCTGGAATGGACTAAAGATTAAAGTTTATAGGAGGTGTGAGGAGCTGCAGTGAGTGTGCTGCTCAGGTAGTGTGTGTTATAGGAGGTGTGAGGAGCTGCAGTGAGTGTGCTGCTGAGGTAGTGTGTGTTATAGGAGGTGTGGGGAGCTGCAGTGAGCGTGCTGCTCAGGTAGTGTGGGTTATAGGAGGTGTGAGGAGCTGCAGTGAGTGTGCTGCTCTGGGGAGCTGCAGTGAGCGTGCTGCTCAGGTAGTGTGTTATAGGAGGTGTGGGGAGCTGCAGTGAGCGTGCTGCTCAGGTAGTGAGTGTTATAGGAGGTGTGGGGAGCTGCAGTGAGCGTGCTGCTCAGTTAGTGAGTGTTATAGGAGGTGTGGGTAGCTGCGGTGAGTGTGCTGCTCAGGTAGTGTGAATTATAGGAGGTGTGAGGAGCTGCAGTGAGTGTGCTGCTCAGGTAGTGTGTGTTATAGGAGGTGTGGGGAGCTGCGGTGAGTGTGCTGCTCAGGTAGTGTGGGTTATAGGAGGTGTGGGGAGCTGCAGTGAGTGTGCTGCTCAGGTGGTGTGTGTTATAGGAGGTGTGGGGAGCTGCAGTGAGCGTGCTGCTCAGGTAGTGTGTGTTATAGGAGGTGTGGGGAGCTGCAGTGAGCGTGCTGCTCAGGTAGTGTGTGTTATAGGAGGTGTGGGGAGCTGCAGTGAGTGTGCTGCTCAGGTAGTGTGGTTATAGGAGGTGTGGGGAGCTGCAGTGAGTGTGCTGCTCAGGTAGTGTGAGTTATAGGAGGTGTGGGGAGCTGCAGTGAGTGTGCTGCTCAGGTAGTGTGTTATAGGAAGTGTGGGGAGCTGCAGGTGTGGGAGCTGCAGTGAGCATGCTGCTCAGGTAGTGTGGGTTATAGGAGGTGTGGGGAGCTGCAGTGAGTGTGCTGCTCAGGTAGTGTGGGTTATAGGAGGTGTGGGGAGCTGCAGTAAGTGTGCTGCTCAGGTAGTGTGTGTTATAGGAGGTGTGGGGAGCTGCAGTGAGTGTGCTGCTCAGGTAGTGTGGGTTATAAGAGGTGTGGGGAGCTGCAGTGAGTGTGCTGATCAGGTAGTGTGTGTTATAGGAGATGTGGGGAACTGCAATGAGCGTGCTGCTCTGGTAGTGTGGGTTATAGGAGGTGTGGGGAAGCAGTGAGTTTGCTGCTCAGGGAGTGTGGGTTATAGGAGGTGTGGGGAGCTGCAGTGAGTATGCTGCTCAGGTAGTGTGGGTTATAGGAGGTGTGGGGAGCTGCAGTGAGCTGCTCAGGTAGTGTGTGTTATAGGAGGTGTGGGGAGCTGCAGTGAGTGTGCTGCTCAGGTAGTGTGTGTTATAGGGGGTGTGGGGAGCTGCAGTGAGTGTGCTGCTCAGGTAGTGTGTGTTATAGGAGGTGTGGGGAGCTGCAGTGAGCGTGCTGCTCAGGTAGTTTGTGTTATAGGAGGTGTGGGGAGCTGCAATGAGTGTGCTGCTCAGGTAGTGTGTGTTATCGGAGGTGTGAGGAGCTGCAGTGAACGTGCTGCTCAGGTAGTGTGTGTTATAGGAGGTGTGGGGAGCTGCAGTGAGTGTGCTGCTCAGGTAGTGTGTGTTATAGGAGGTGTGGGGAGCTGCAGTGAGTGTGCTGCTCAGGGGAGCTGCAGTGAGCGTGCTGCTCAGTGAGCGTGTGGGGAGCTGCAGTGAGCGTGTTGCTCAGGTAGTGTGTGTTATAGGAGGTGTGGGGAGCTGCAGTGAGTTATTTTGTATAATATATTATATAATTATAACTATAAACTGCTTAGCATCTTTTAACAATTCCTTATATAGATAATATGGAGAATTCAGATTGTGGTTTCCATTTTACTAATCAGAATCTTGACCTTGTGTCATAAAATAATCAGTAAATAAATGTTTAAATAATTCTCTTGGATTCATGGAAACCAATATCACTGACAATTTATAGTCAACGCACTGGTGGTCACTTTACTCCTGTAATTCCTTTAGTTTTGTAGCCTTAAATTGCTGGTCTTCACCTCTGACCTCCAATCCATGGTGGACAAGCCAACGATGTATTCACATAAAAAGTTTGAATTTCCCATATCAGCCGAGTTCTCTTCAGCTTCTGATAAACCAGTAGAAAATCCTCTGCGTTCCTGTGAATTCCCTGAAGATGCAGAAAGTTCATTAATGCCCATAGTTCTAATTAGGGTATTAAAAATAAATGCTGTGAGTTCGTCTAATGCAACATCGATTCCCAAGGTGGTGACAGGGGACAAGCAATGATCACAGAGAATAACTGGTGATTAATACCTCCTGCTATTATTCTGATGCTTATTTGTCCAGTCCTATCAGCATGTTCAAACAAGCTTAATTTATCTAATGAAACAAAATGTCCTCTTGAAAGAATCCTAATATGAGGTTCATGGTCTTTGCCTTTTTACTGCTATAAAGACATGACAGGGTGACACTGGAGAGAAGATGCACTCTGCTAAGCAAATTTTTATTTTAATGGCAACTTTAGGAACACAGATAATATCAAACCACAAGAAAATCATATTTGAATATTGTAGATAACTGCAACACTCAACACTTCAGCCAGCCACCAACTAAGTTTAGTTACCCAACCCTTCAATGCAGGAAGGCCAGAGGTTAAAAGCTACAACAGTGCTATAGATAGAACGCTGGAATATATTAGGTATTCCGGATAGACCGCCTGAGAGTGCTGAGGGTTGCAATCTATAATTAGCCTGAGTGCAACAGGCTACTTACCCTAGAATGACCACATTAGCCTGTTATAAAGGACGCATATAATAGTAATAAAAATAATAATTATTATTATTATTATATTTATACAGCGCCAACAAATTTCATAGCACATTACAATGGGTGGACTAACAAACATGTAATAGAATGATTATAATGATAAGGAGACTAGGGCATCCAGCATCACATTGTCATTCATACGAATTGTGGGGGAATGTCAATTTTTCTGAAATTATGAACTCTGAAAAGCTATATGGATACATCACACTGATAAATCATGGATAAATCATGGATAAATCATTCGTCTAAATCATTCGTATAAATCATACAGATAAATAATGGATACATTATTCGAGTAAATCATTCGTATAAATCATACGGATAAATCATGGATACATTATTCAAATAAATAATTCATATAAATCATACTGATAAATCATGGATAAATCATGGATAAATCATTCGTATAAATCATACAGATAAATAATGGATACATTATTCGAGTAAATCATTCGTCTAAATCATTCGTATAAATCATTCGTATAAATCATTCGTATAAATCATGGATACATTATTCAAATAAATAATTCATATAAATCATATGGATAAATCATACTGATAAATCATGGATAAATCATGGATAAATCATTCGTATAAATCATTCGTATAAATCATATGGATAAATCATAAATCATACGGATAAATCACATGGATAAATTATGAAATTATGAAATTATGAAAGGGTTAAAGGTGTTTGTTGTGTTTTATTTCGTAATTTGGAGTTCTGTCCATGGTGCCAAATTTTTTTTTTCAAAAATGCTGATAGTTGGGAAAAAAGATGATTGCTGGTTAGGGTACAGTCACTAAATGTGGATTTTATTATTTTTTAATTTTTTTAATTATTTTTTTATAATAAATATAATTTTTCTTTAAGTGAATAATAGATGGAGAGAAAGGACAGTCAGTAAAAACAATCTGTATTGAATAAAACAATCTGTATTGAATAAAATAATCTGTATTGAATAAAATAATACGTATCTAGAAATATAATTTTTGTATTTGATCCTGTTTTTCTCCCTATTGTTTTTTTATTCTCACTTGAGCTGTGGACCAAATGGGGGTGAAAACACGCCTATTGGAGCACTTCCAAATATATAGAAAATATTTATATTTTGCAGTACAGTGACTGGCCAATTAGCTCTATTTTGGTTTGTCCAAATAGCTTTTTCCCAAAACGATCGCATGTATGCAATTTGTCTGAACTGAAATGTCACATGTTAGAAGCCAGTGTTGGCCGAAGCAATCTTTTTTGGACTATTGTTTAGTATGAGTGGCGTGAGTTTTTATTCTCCCTGAAAGCCTAAATTAAAGACGGTTACTGTTCACTTTATCCAACTCTCTTGTAATCATATCCCAATGCATTCTGAACTGTTGTTACAAACAAAGCGTTTAATAACAAAATTATATCTTCAAACACTAGGCAACAAACAGGTTAACAACAAAGGCGTTTACTGCCGAGATCAGCAAATCCTCTGAAATGTAGGGTTCATTGACATTACGGCACAGGTCGATATGAAATACACTGAGTAAACAGAGTCTTTGGATGGAACTATAAAGAGCGAGCCCATTTATTTATTTATAGAGTGCTTGATTTTCTCTCTCCCCAAATGCGAAGTCCTGGTGTGAGCGAAGAATCAGGCCTAAGCTGTTTTCATGCATTCAGAAATAGCTCCCGCTCCTCAGCTCATTAAAGATATATAACAAGGAAATTGAAATGTCCTTTTGCACTTTAATAACTGATAGATGCTGACTGCAAACGCTGGCTGAGGTCTCCCGTGCAATACAAGTTAATTAACTGGATTTAGCTATTTGCAAGATGATATATTTAATGGGATTAATGTTCAGATAATGTTCTCTGTGAGCGGGTAAGCCATCTCTAGCCCTGCATCTGAATTCTGCATCTCCTGCCCTTTGAGAGGTAATGTTGTGTTAAGGAAAAGTACAATTTGAACCTTATTGTTCTTGAATAGCTGAGTTATTCAGATGGAAATTGAGACTCTTCCAATGAGGTCTTGGCTAGGCAGATGCTGTAGAAGAAGTGGTCGGGCTTCGACATTCCTGAAGCAGGTTGGGTTGTGAGTGCACCTGAACTTCTAACAAGTTCAAGGCACTTGTGCAGTTCTTTTAGGCATAATAAGCCCATTATTCATGTCTGTCTCCCGGCTGAGCGCTATTAGATGTTGTGCTTGGTGGGTTTTCCTGATAAACACACCCTTAGTCTTCATCTATACCTGACATAGGATACATTGTAACCACTTTGAGCTCAAAGCACCATTCTCTCTATTTCCCCTCTCTCTCTCTCTTAAGCAAACATAATAAACAAAAGTAGTCACCCTTAAAGATACAGAAACGCTTAGCGATTAGCATCTGCTTAAGACGTTCTGTGATAGCCTGAAAGTGGATTCACGAGGTCACAAGGAGCATCAATAGAGAAACACTTAATTTCCCGTTGTGTTCATTTCAGAGATGACTGATTGCAAGTTTTCCTTGTTTTTGCCAAATGAGAGATCATGAGAACGCAAACACAGAGGGAATATCATAGGAGTATGTTCTGTTAACAATGACCCAATAGACACAAACCCAACACTGGGCCCCAATAAATAGCGCAAGAAGTGTGTGTGAGCCATAAAACACAACAAGTGTGTGTAATGAAGATAAAACACAACATCACATTGCCCACATTATGGCACACAAACCAGACTTGCTTCCAAATACATTGGTTCCGTTTAATTCGATCCAGACCACAGCCACCATCGGATAACTCACTCCATTAAATGGTTTCATAGCCAGACAGCCCAGCCAGAGATTATTGTTATAAAGATCTTTTCAAATAGTACGTATCTGATAATCAGTGAAAACAGTGGTCTGGGCGTTATTCTGAATGTTGTAATACCACGCTGTAATTAGGGGCCTCTTTTAATTGATATGTTTAATTAAGAGTCTTATCCACTTGATTACTGTGTGATAAGGCAAACAACAATCTATTTATAATGAATGTATTTGTAAATATCCAAATATAGTAATTTAATTAAGGAAACGTATTAAAGACACAGCTTGCTGGACAAATGAGTGACTCTACTTAATTATAAAAGAATTCCCCCAGAAATAGGTATCAGTCACCCGTCTGCACCAAAACACAAAACTAACCTAATAAGTGCACGGGAGTTTTGTAGCAAAATATGTATAGATTGGTACAAATCGAGAGCAAAAAGTCTCAGAATGAGAATGACGAGATGGCTCGCAAGAATAAAGGGTAAAATTAGGCATCTTTCTCTTCTCATTTGGACATTGCTGTTTATGGCAGGCAGATGGAGGAGTAATAAAAAAATAGAATACTGCTTTTTTACCCTTTTTATTTATGTATAAACAAAACAATAAAATGAAAACGAAACTAAAAGTTAATAAATAACTCTCAGCTAGTCCGGGTCTGAACACTTACATAAATCTCGACCAGAATCTCTATGTGTAATGTACTATGAGTGTTTAAAGAAATCCAAATTTAGGGGAAAACAATTGAATCCAGTATGTTATAAATCATTTTGTCAGATGCTGGCCTGGCACAGACTGGAATCTTCTTCTAGTTCAATTATCCTAAAGGTATTAATAAAGCCTATTTCATTTCTCCCATAGTTCTATAGTTGCAAAAAAAAAAAGAGCTGACGTCATTTTTCAGTCTAGTTCTTTGGGTGAAGAGAAAGCAATCTTGTGTAAGAGTATTTCTTTTTTTTTTGCAAAATATACAGATCAAATATATACCAACAATTCGTGGGCGACCGCTTCAAACTCACTTTACAACCTTTTGCAAAGATTAATTGTAACGGTACTAAATAGATAATAATGCTACTAGTCTTATGAACCATCTGTTTTCAAGCATTAATAAAAACATCCAATGACAAAAACAGAAATTGGGAGACTAATGGACTTCACAAATGTTTATTGCCCAGGGTTCTGCATATAAAATGGTGGCACTGCTCTAGTCCCCTATTGCTTGCTGATGCCACCAAATCTCTGAGATTTGTGCTCTAGTTTCTATCTATCCATCTATCTATTATCTATCTTTCTCTCTCGCTCTCGCTCTCTCGCTATCTATCTATCTCTCTCTCACGCTCTCTCTCTCGCTATCTATTATCTATCTATCTATCTATCTATTATCCATCTATCTATCTATCTCTCGCTATCTATCTCTCTCTCTCGCTATCTATCTATACATCTCTCCCTCGCTATCTATCTATCTCTATCTCTCTCTCTCGCTATCTATCTATCTATCTATCTCTCTCGCTATCTATCTATCTATCTCTCTCTCGCTATCTATCTATGTCTCTCTCTCTCGCTATCTATCTCTCTCTCTCGCTATCTATCTATCTATCTATCTATCTATCTATCTATCCCCAGAGTGGCTCGAACCTTCACCTTTTTCTGCTGTAACCACTGGAGGGCCAACGTGGCCTTGTGCTTAGAGTCAGTGTCATGCTGGAAAGTCCAAGAGGTTCCCATGCCCAGCCTTCGCCCAGAAGAATGCAAATTGTCTGCCAGTATTTCCTGATAACATGCTGCATTCATCGTGCCATCAATTTTCACAAGGTTACCTATGCCTTTAGAGCTCACCCCCCTCTCAAAACATCAGTAAGCCACCACCATGCTTTACAGTGGGGATGGTATTCTTTTCACTATAGGCCTTGTTGACCCCTCTCCAAACATAGCACTTATGGTTGTGACCATAAAGCTCTGTTTTGGTCTCGTCACTCCAAATTACAGTTTGTTAGAAAAGCTGTGAGGAATGTCAAGGTGTTGTCGGCCATATTGCAACCGGCCTTATTTTGACCTTCTTTCTGGCAAGTCGACCATGCAGCTAATTTTTGTTCAAGTATCGTCGTATTGTGCTCCCTTAAACAACCACACTGTCTTTTTTCAGAGCAGCCTGTATTTCTCCTGTGGTTACCTGTGGGGTATTTCTTTGTATCTCGAACAATTCTTCTGGCAGTTGTTGCTAAAATCTTTCTTGGTCTACATGACCTTGGCTTGGTATCCAGAGATCCCTGAATTTTCCACTTCCTAATAAGTGATTGAGCAGTACTGACTGGCATTTTCAATGCTTTGGATATCTTTTTATATACTTTTCCATCTTTACAAAGTTCTATTACCCTGTTACACATGTCTTTTGACAGTTCTTTTCTGCTCCCTATGGCTCGGTATCTAGCCTGCACAGTGCATCCACATCAGAGCTAACAAACTCATTGACTATTTATACACAGACACTAATTGCAATTTAACCCCTTAAGGACCGAGGACGGTTCAGGACCGTCATCGGCATTTTTACATTGCCGACCGCTGACGGTCCTGAACCGTCCTAATGGTCTTAGTTACTTACCCGATCGCCGTCGTTCCCCCGGTGTGGGGAGACTGCCTGCAGCCCAGACAGTCTCCCCATGGCGGATTAGGACCCCTGTGGCCATGTGATCGCTCAACACAGCGATCACATGGTCACAATAGGTGTCCATGTGTCTGCCTGCAGGGGCAGTCTCCCTGCTAGTGTAAAATCATTAAAAAAAAAAGTTAATGTTAATAAAAAAAAAAATATTTATGTGTATATATATATATGATATATAGACATATATTATATATATATATATATATATATAATATATGTCTATATATCATATATATCATGTCATACTAAGTGTATTTTTATATTAATATGTACATATATTAATATAAAAATACACGTATAATTAAATTACACACGTATATATATATATATATATATATATATAATATATATTGTAACGGACCGTTTTGCACACAAGGGGTAAAAACTGTTTAGGCGATCGTCCCCCTTTCCAGAGATGCAGGCACAGCTACTGCAGAACACCAAACTCCCGAACAGGATACCAAGTAGCACTCCAAATTCCCGAACTGGAACCTCATGAATAGCTGCTAGCAGCTGAACAGGAAAAGCACCCAAGCAGCTTACACTCCTGGCAATCAGTTTCTAACAGCATACAGTAAATCCCCCCAAGAACGAGACAAAGCTCCATGTTGAGGGTCAAGCAGTGAGCAGTCAGAGCTGTGGGTTTATTGTGCTTATGTACACATTCTTACACATTAGTACCACCCACAGGGTTTTGGAACACAACCAATAAACACATACAATACACTCAGACACTCCCACACAAATTCCTCCCCTCTGCATGTGATTCAATGACCTTACACAATGGGTAATGTAATTTAGCACAAGCAGAGAAATTTTTCAGAATCAGCATACTCCAAATACAAACATATGTCAAAATCATACAAATTGGTCCAGTGGTTCAAAAGATAGATCGAAGTCCTTTGTGACCACAGGAAGCATGGCTTTTCTGCCCAAAACCAGTTCCACAGAGTCTTCTATCCTGGAGATAATTAGAAGTAATCCAATTATCTCCAAAGACAGAGGCAAAACTCCATTAGCCACATGGTAGCAAAATACAGTAAAATACAATAAAATACACAAGGTTACATTTATGACATAAATACAGACATGCAACATATGCCCAGATAGATAGCTTAGGTCTGAGCGCACATTATTACTGAATGGCGCTCAGAGCACACACATACAGTTCAATTTCCATGGAGCCAAAATCTTTCCCATAGTCTTTCATTATACGAATGGGCTCCATGGCATAGCTATCTGGGGTATCACTGCTCAAACAGGGCAAGCACCAAATGACCCGGCTTTCTTGTCTTTGCAGGGGAAAATCAAGCCTTTTAACATGGGGCCATAATCCAAAGGCAACAGATGAGCAACCAGGCTTCTCCAATGCAATGTGGCGAGATTGCTCTCGTCACATATATAATAACTATATCTATTGTATATATATATATATTATTATAAAATACAAATAACAAGTAGATTGAATTAAATTAAAAAAATGAAAAAAAAAAAATTATATATCTATATGAAATTTTATTCTAACTGTATTTTGATATTAATATATATATTTATATCAAAATACACTTAGAATGAAATTGTATATATCTATATATATATAAATAAATAAAAATAATACGAAATATACATATGTCCATATACAAAATTACATAAATAATTATATAAATACACACGTAGACTTCAAATATATAAATATGCATATATATTTAAATTCTACGTGCGTATTTATGTAATATTTTTACATAATTCAGTAATTTTATTGATTGCAATTTGAGGGACCTGCCTGCCAACCCAGGCCGAAATTCCAGAGAATTTAATTTGCTAGCACTGTATTTTACCCTGTAGCGTTCTACGACACCCTAAAACCTGTACATGGGGGGTACTGTTTTACTCGGGAGACTTCGCTGAACACAAATATTAGTGATTTAAAACAGTAAAACATATCACAGCGATGATATTGTCAGTGAAAGTGACTTTTTTTTGCATTTTTCACACACAAACAGCACTTTTACTGATTATATAATTGTTGTGATATGTTTTCCAGTTTTGAAACACTAATATTTGTGTTCAGAAAAGTATCCTGAGTATAACAGTACCCCCCATGTACAGGTTTTATAGCGTTTTTGAAAGTTACAGGGTCAAATATATGGGTCAAATATTTGGTATGGTAGCCCAGGAATGAAAATTACCCCCATGATGGCATACCATTTGCAAAAGAAGACAACCCAAGGTATTGCAAATGGGGTATGTCCAGTCTTTTTTAGTAGCCACTTAGTCACAAACACTGGCCAAAATTAGCGTTCAATTAAGGTTTTTTACTTTTTTCACACACAAACAAATATGAACGCTAACTTTGGCCAGTGTTTGCGACTAAGTGGCTACTAAAAAAGTCTGGACATACCCCATATTAAATACCCTGGGTTGTCTACTTTAAAAAAAATATGCACATGTGAGGTGTGATTCAGAGATTTATGACAGATAACAGTGTTACAATGTCACTATTGATACATTTTAAAAATGTATGTTTTAAAAGTGCAATATCCTACTTGTACCTATAGCCCTATAACTAGCAAAAAAATAGCAAAAAAGCATGTAAACATTGGGTATTTTTAAACTCAGGACAACATTTTGAATCTATTTAGCAGTTATTTTCATTCGCTTTTGTAGATGAGTAAAAGATTTTTCACGTAAAAGTAAAAAAAAATGTATTTTTAAAAAAATTTCATCATATTTTTTCATTTTTTTAAAATTAAATTACATGAGATTATATAAATAATGGTATGTAAAGAAAGCCCCTTTTGTCCTGAATATATATAATTTGTATGGGAACAGTAAAGGAGAGAGAGCGGAAAATTACAGCTAAACACAAACACCACAAAAAGTGTAAAAAGATGCCTGGTCGCAAATGTACAACATCGCAAAAACAGTCCGGTCCTTAAGCGGTTAAAAAGCCACTGGTGTGGGAAATTAACTTTTAATAGCCTTGTGATGAACTGCCCTTCGCCACTGGCTTTTGGAGGGGCCTGCTTGCCAGCCTCCTACCCTGTGACTATGGCCCCTGGGGTGTATTTCCATTTAAATAGTCTATTTGGGCTTATTGGATTTTAAAACACTTTTTCTGCCCCTTTAAATACATGGGAAAATGAGCCTCTTCCCCTCCCCCTTTTTCCTGTCCTATTGTTCTCCAGCAGGGCGTTGTCCCAGGGACACTGCCAGGCCAGTTTAAACTGGCTGCTTTGTTCCTCCTCAATCTCCCATCAGCCCTTGCTATTTTCTGACCCCAACCAGATTTGTACTATAGGGCACTTTTAACATTGGACATATTGAGCGCTCAGATCCAAGCTATCTGGGGATATGTTGGACATATAGGTAAAACATTGTATTATATGAGTTATGAATTTTTATGTGATTTTTGTAACAGTTTTTGGACTTAGAGATATTTCCTGTACCCGGAGATAATTGGCTTACCACAGCCACTTAAGCCAATTATCTCCAGCATAGAGGAGAAGATAGACCGCCGCACAGCCTAAATCTGTGGAACTGTTTTGGGCATGAAAACCATGCTTGCGGTCGGTCAAATGTGACTTCCATAAAACTTTTGAACCCCTGCTCTGATCTGGGTGATTTTTAGATATGTGGGTATATGTTGTTGTTTTGGGGTGTTTCTGGACTTTGGGTAAAACTGGATATTTTCTGCCTGTGGTAATTGAGTTAGTCCATTGTGTTTGGTAATTGTATCACAGGCAGAGGGGAGGGTTTGTGTACATTAGCTGGGAGTGTCTAACTGTAAAATACTGCGTTGATTGGCTGTTGTGACTTTGTGTCCTGTGCTCCACTAGGTCCATGTGGGTGGTAATCTTGTGGGAAAAAATATATATAAGAAAAGTCTTTGTGCTCATTAAACCAGTTCTACTTGACCCTCAACTCGCAGCCTCAACTGGTGTTTGGAGGGGACAGCTATAATCACTACAGGAATTGCTATGCTAAGCATATTCCCTTAGTTTCACTGAGCTCTTGTAAGAGCTTGTTCCTGTTCCTGCTTCGCTCTCTGGAAGGAAGAGAGGTTCACCCACTGGAACCTGGAGCCTTGTTGTAGGTCCAAGGTGGGTAGGAGACGGCGAGACCCCAACCAAGCTGCAGCGGTTCGTGGGGTCTGCAGTGCTTATGGTGTCCGGTGCGGTGCTGATGGTCCTTGGTGAGCACTAGGAGCATCCTTTCTACGGTCCAACCTTCAGCTAGCCTGGGGCAACCGTAACATTCCTTTTAACCTGT